TTTGACCTAGAGAAGATCAAACCATTTTCTGCATGGAAGAATAGCCAGGATCATCTGCAAGTCAGATAGAAGTTGATGTGTGCAAGCTGGCCAAACCCATCAAAGAAGGATTGAGGTCTGGAAGCTGTGCCCAAAAAAACACAGGCAGAGGGTAACAGACTAGTCACTGGGATTGGTGTGGTTTACCTGCAGCTAATCTGTTCCGCATTAATGACTTTCCATACCTTATTCTACACTGTGAGGGGAATTTATCAAAACTGGAGCAGACAAAATCTGAAGTAGCTGTGCATGGCAACAGATCAGCTTCTCTCTTTCATTTTCAAATCTTAACTGAACAAAGTTAAGAGAGATACTGATTGGTTGCCATGCACAGCTGCTCCAGATTTTGCCTGCTCCAGTGTTGATCAATTCCCCTCTGTGTCTCTGTGCAAAGGCAGCCACATTGTTAAAGCCAGTGCTTTACTTCCACATGTCAGAGCCTCCAGCAAGGAGGGCAGTGAGCAGCACAGTAGGGATATCAACAAATCTTCTGAGACTAGAAGTCAGAGGCAGCTCCAGATCCAGTGGCGCCTGAGGCGTGGGGGTCAGTATATGTGCTGGAGGTGCAGTTTCGGGAGGCCTGGGGGCGGTGTTCGGTGCTGGTGGTGCAGGTCGGGGCGGATGGCTGTGTGCTGGCGGTGGAGATCCGGGGAAGGGGGGCACGTTACCTCTGCCCAGTATCCTGCCCAGATCACTGACTTCACTGGTTACCAGGAGCTTGGCGGGATGCAAGCCAGAGCATCACAAGGTGCTAAGAGACACACCTGTTGCCCCCAGCACGTGACCCAATGAGGTGCCGCCTGAGGAAACCACCTTAGGCTGCCCTATTATACTCTGGTTAGTACTCACACTGCAGATATACAGCTATGAGCCTGCAGACGCAGGACACCCTAAACGCACCTTGCATACCACAAAGTACACTTTTGCCGATATTTTCAGAAGGAATTCAAGGCAAAATGGTGGGGAACAATTAGCACTTTAAGATGTCCTCTATAACATAGCAAATCTTCACTATTTGAGTTGAGTTCCACTTTAAGTAGGCATACAACATGCTAGACAAAAGCAGGTTGATCTGGTGGGTATTACTAAGATTTTTTATTTTTTTTTGGCAAGAATATTTCCATGCGTCTAATAAACTTCACAGACATGCACTAGTGTTTATCGAAACAGTGAAAGGTCTGTTTTTGTTGTGTAAGTATGCTTAACCTTGTGTACAAATATGTTAAGCAATACTACAAAGTATATCTTGTTCTAATAAAACGTGCATTCATAAAAGCACCACATCATTGGGAACATTACTGAAAGTGACTTTCAACTTTCGTAAGCGACATCTTGTGCTTTAGCACAATTACTATACTTGAAGTTCTAATTTTGTATCAAATGATCAGTTTCTTAGTAAAGACTGCACTGTTCCCTTTGTGCTATGACACAGGTTACGTCATTAAATGTGAAAATTCCTATACGCATTCTTGGGAAACAAAAAAGTGTTTATATGCAATCCTAACATTAATGATGCCTTGTATTCTTGTTGAATCCTATGGTCTTTTCCCCAGCAGAGTCATTTAATGGTTGCTTAGTAACCAGAGGAATACTGTACATGCGTACTGGCGAATAACTGCAGTCTCGCTTCTGTTTGTCTCTGGGCAGCAACATGCTAGAAAACTATTTGATGTTAACACCGTGAAGGGCAACGTCAAGGTCAAAAACAGGAACGATGATGACCTTGCTGAACATAGACAGCCCGGTCACAAGTTACAAATACACAACACTGTGTTTGGTAGTCTATAAATTAAGAATGCAAATGAAGCTCGAGCACCAAGCAGTCTGCATTTTACACAGTGAGGGTTTTATGCAGCAAGCGCAAAAATCCTGCCGTACATCTCTGTTAGGGTTGTCATAAGGATGCAATGCGTGCAGCTCTCTAAGCCTCGGACAAATTTCAGCAAAGCATCACGTCAGAGGAATCAAGTCAAAATTTAAAGCATGTTGTCGTTAAATATTTGTACAGAAGGAAATAGGGGAAGACAGTTATTAAAGCTATACTTGCTTCACAAGACCTACTCTTTGGAGTCAGCACAATGATGTACTGGTGACAATCTCCACTCCTTGTTTCTCTAATGCTTACTCCAATCTAAAGTACGTGTTGGCTTCACTGACACAGCTTTCTATGGCTGAATTCACACCTAGGCGACACCTATAACCGTGTCTTTTTTTGCGCGATTTGTGCACAGTTTTGCGTGAATGGGCAAAAAGTGTGCAAACAAAAAATCAAATTGTGCGTTTTCAAGCATTTTTTTTTCTAGTCTATGGGACAAAATGCTCTGAAATCTGCCCCAGAGTAGCACATGTAGTATGTCGTGCGACAGGCATATTTCTGCTTGCGACAAAACACTGACAGGTGCACATGGGCCAGATAAAGTATAAGTAAATGGGATTCCTCGTGGTGAGCCGTTTGTCGCACTGATCGACAAGCGACAAACAGTTTGGGTGTGAATGGGCCCTAAGGGCCCATTCTAACACAGCCACTGTGTGTTCTCTAGACTGTGGTGCCCATGGAAACAGTGGAGAGTTGTCCCTAGATGCAGCGCTGCCACAAGGGTGGGGGTGGCTGGGTGTGGGTTGGAATGATGGGTGTGCTGCTTCTTATAGATGCGGACCGGGGTGTCCGTCGTTTGCCAAGGGGATCAAAGAAAAAGGGGAGTGTCAGACTGCAAACCCAGCTCTGACTGTAACTCAGGAGGTGTGGGGGAGCAGGAGCAGAGCTCAGCAGCAAAGTGTTAATAAGCTGTGACAGTGTAGCAGGTGGATGGGGCACTGTCACAGGAAAGATGTCCTCAGCTCTTCAGACGTCTTGGGCCGTGTTTTCCCCGTATGCCTCCGACAGGAAGTTAGTGCTTATGATAAGAAGAGCCTCAGCTTTTGCCCGGAGCCAGCTAGGAGGTAATATTATAGTCAGAGGATTGAGTGTTCCTGAGAGAGAGTGATGGTCCCTGCATGGACTGAGGGAAGCTTTGCTGCTGCAGACAGAGGGTGACTGTCCCAGCATGGAGCTGCGTTCCACATCCCCCCCTTCCATCACTTTCTTCCAGCTCTGTCACATAGTCTGTGAATATTCATGGGGCAAAGACTAAAGTTAATTTGCACTTTTTTGCAGCCAGATTGGAATAGAATCCTATTTTATATGTGTTAAATGTTCCTAACACAACATAACCGTTTAAACAAACATTGCTGTTCACCTTTTTACTTGCTGGATATTCTTATATTTCGACAATTGAATGTAATGTTAAGGACGGGGCTGGAAGTAATGGTCACTATAATTAACCCTGTGTGTACTGGCTCATGATCAGATGTACAGGACTGTCTGTACTAACAAAGGGTTAGTGATCTCAGGTTTGGCTGGTGCATTGCATATTACTGTCTCTCACTTTGCACGGTTAGTAGCTGGAATGCACTAGATCGCATAATATAATTCTCCCTGCGTGCATGCATGACCTATTTTTTGCAACTGCACTGCACCATGGGCATTGTTGTGCCATGTGTTCTGGTGCAGTTAAATGCACTGCAAGGCAGGAGACGTGGCTGTGGTGCTATTGACTTGAATGTATCTCCAGGCTCTCTCCTGCCCCAGAACACAGGAACATTTTATTATGCGATACAGTGCATTCCAGTTACCAACCGTGCTGGAACACACGGGATTAGGTGTAAACAAGCCCTTTGATGTTATGGAAGCTGCCTGTAGAGTCCTGTGTGTAATCTGCTAAAAAACAAATAGAAAAGTAAGAAATACATGAACATTTACCAGTAGTTGCCTCATTTCCCACCCTAGGCTTATACTCGAGTCAATATTTTTTCCCAGTTCTTTGTGGTAAAATTAGGTACCTCGGCTTATATTCGGGTCGACTTATACTCTAGTATATACGGTAGTAGGGGGCAGAAAATGCACTATATAGAAATGTCACCAGCACATCAAATCCTTTTAGAATAGCAAAATGTTCATTTATTTGCCATTCCTTGTCAGAAAAACAAGTGCCTGATGAAGGGACCCTGCACGGTCCCGAAAGCGCTTGTTTTTCTGACAAGGAGCTGTAACTAAATAAACATTTGGCTATCCTAAAAGGATGTTTTGGTGTGCTGGTGACATTTCTATATATTGCTGATGTTTGTGGCGCCATCCGCAGTCACTGCGGGCACCCACCCCATTACAAGGGACTTTCGGTAAGGAGTGCAACAAGTAAAGATGTTTTTTTTGTCAACTGTGTAGGCCAAAATCCTTGCACTGGCCCTGCTGTACAGTGCATATTGTGACCATATGATGTTTCACAGGGTGAAGGGGGCAGGTGGGGGGGCCCAAGAAAATGTTTGCCCAGGGTCCAGTTAATATTAAAGACGGCCCTGGAAATAGTTGAACTTTTTTCTCTTTCTTTCGGACTTAGATGAACTCAGAGGTAATAGATGTAAATGGCCGCGCATCTGTGTACAACTGCTGGCCCACAGACTAACATTGGGCATCCGATCAGATCCTCCTGGAAAACTGACAGGCGGATCTGTTTAGAACGGCTGTGTGTAAGGGATCTAAACGTCAACAGGGAGCCTGCAGCTTGACGTGTACTTCTTAAAAAATGGATACAATGAAACACATGTAAACACGTAACTTACCAGTCAGCGATACATCCTGTTATCAAGTAACCAAATATCAACCCGACGACCAGTGAGAATTTAGCTATATGAACTTTCCACGATGAGTCACAGACCAGATCCCACTGCAAGAAAAAAAAAACCAGAACACCATGAAATCAGAGGCTTCCAGATATGATTATTGCACTGATCATTCTTACCTACATGAAAAGTATTTTATCTCTAGCTACAGCTATCCATTCTCCCTATTTGGAAAACATACTTCTTGCATATGATTACAGTTTATTTCTGGTCTAGTGTATCTCTTCCTATTCATACATGGCGTGCCTTTTCACTTTGTTATATAATAAATGATATGACATGAAAAGGATAAATAACACAGAGTTGATAGACATATAGTGTAATTAGGAAAACTGTTCATTTTGTTGGCGTGTTCCATGCCATGCTGTGAGCAGTCTCCAAAACACATAATAAGACTTTGCAAGCTTACAACACCACTGATCCGCTTCTATAATTAAAGGGCAAGTCATGTATGCTGCAACTGAGCCCATCCACACATACCAATTTACTTCAGACAAGTGCACCATATAGATGATAACCCAAGCAGCTGGTTTGCACCCACAGTATATGCATGTGATTCAATAAAACATGCCATTAGATTGTCCAGATTGTAAAATATTAAGAATGTGTTTTCCAACTTAAACCACTGAAACAATTGAACCTTTCACTTTATTATCCGTCCCTTAATGTAGATGTAAACCTTAACTAAACAACATTTAGTTTAGTAAGGCACTGTGCATTGTAAGCAATTGTCTTTCTCTTTAATAAAATACCTGTGGGTTTTTTCCATCTTTTTTTCCATCTTTTAATCACCTCAGCGCTGCTGATCTGCTGCAGCTTATGTGCAGCAACATCTAATCTAACATGCATGCACTCTAGCAATACCCAACTCAGAGTGGGTTTCCTAATGGTGACAACAGTGGACCATGCCTGTACTTTGCATGTTGAAACTACCACTTGTAGCCTTTACTGAAAGCCAGTGAGACAGCACAATAGCTCAATTGGATGATAGGGACAGAGCGCTGTCATCCTGTAGCAGAAAAGTTGATCTCCGGGTATAAGTTTTTATGCATCCTTACCTTGGCGCTGCTTGTCCCGATGCAAGTATGCATATGTTATACTTGAGTGGCCCATGATGATCCTGTAAATATGTAGCTACTACAGTGATCTTCTGGGTCCAGTATGGTGCTGAGCGACTTCCCTTCTGTCTTGAAAATACAGGGGGTCGCTCACTCAGCACAGCGGCCATTCAGAGAACGCCTAATAGTTTCATAGATGGGTGCAAGGCAATCTCCGATTAGACGAGAGGTTGATCATGACATCACCACCCCTTGTCCATTCAGAGAACAATAAGCATAATGCATATTGTAGGACATTTAGACTTGGTTTACTGGTGCAGTAGCAAGAAAAGCAAAATGACTAAGTAAATAACAGAAGCTAAAATCGAGCTCAGAGGTATCCATTTACTTGAGTTCCTCCTTCCCAAAGTCAAATGACAAGTAGCTGCCAGAGCTGCATTACTTTCTCTTCCAGTATCAGCATATAAACAGTTTGGGCAATTAACCCATTTTAACCTCAGGGCCAGTCAGATGAAATCATTCCAAAATGCATTTTAGTTGATCCTTTGAGTATTATAGGCAGCCAGAAGAGGGACTGAGGAACTGAGCACTCATTTTATTTGATTGACTGAGAGAGCCTTGAGATGCCTTTCCTAATGGAATGTGTACAGGTGTCAATGTAGAGCATGAACTTTGCAGAGTCTGCAAGTTTTTCCTTAAAACTTTCTGATTTTAATATTCTCAGTCATATTGTTACAAACGGCAAGTACAGCTGTCTATCAATTGGTTGCAGTGCTAATTAAATTAATGACGCACAGGCTAACAGTGTTGTGGAAGCCTATGCCTCTTGCAATCACACTTCTGGAACTATGGTCACAACTATAAAATCATATTCCACTCTGCCAATTCCATTGAGACTGCGCTGTTTTTCTAAGTACCCCTTGGAACATTTGCTTAATAGCTGTTGATTCTACCAGTAGAACCATTAAATCAGAACTTCCTTTTATTGTATGATAACACCTTTCCTTCTAAAGTTAAATCACTGCAGCATGGTCACCATAATTGCTGCTGTAGCTGCTTAGATGCTGGCACCATTGATGGCCAGCTCTGCCCACAACCCTTTAGTACATAGCACATCCACAGAAGCTGAAATCATTAGGAAAATCATTAGGTTGAACTCGATGGACATGTGTCTTTTTTCAACCTGACTAACTATGTAATGATGGAAAAGCGCTGTTCAGTCTCTTTCACCCCTTACAACACTAACAACTTTTCTTATCTTGGAATAGTTTAGATCACCCTAGGCTACCCACTATTCGAACAATCAGCCAACTGCCTTCCCTATCCTCCTTATAAAAGGCTTGTACCTCCTACATTCTTTTGTGCTCCAGCTCTGCCATTTTAAAAAGTCAACAGGAGTCCGCCAGGAGAAGAACCCTGAGTTTCAGGTACGTGGGTGAGTGGGATGGGGGTGGCAATGTGACTGTGTTTCATGTTACACCCTGAATATGGACATAACATGAAACATGGTCTAAAAAGGTAAACTTGGCCTTTAAGTAATATTTAAAATAGATAAAATAGATAATATGGTCCTAGTATTAAAAAAAATATTGTGTATTTATTGTTTGAGAATTGCTATATTGATTAAATGATGCATTTATTCATTTGTGCATAGTAAAGCAGTTACAACATATGGGACACTGTGAAACTATTCAAGAACACAACAAATTCCATAAAAGGTCAAACGTTACTAGAGTTGACATTGAAATACACACTTTGTAGCTACGGATAAGCGGCTTTTACTAAATACTACATTTTTCCTACCAGTCCTCCTACTGAAGAAATGTAGACAGTCATGCTTATCTGCACTTAGCCAAAAACTTTGTATAAAATAAAAAAAAGGAACAATAGCTTCCATTCAGCTATACTGCAATAGCAATGACAACATTTAAACCTCTATCAACTCGTATTTTATGCAATCATCATTTAATGGCTTACTGCCCAGCACTGCAAATTCATTGCTGAGTAGAATTATCTGCATGTCAACAAAAGTACCACTTATCAAAAGTTCCAGTGCAGAGATTATCAACTTTTGCAGACCTTGCATGCTAAAATTGGAAAAAATGAGTAACATTAAAATGGTTTAGCTCTTTGAAATTATCAGATGACAAATTGATATCTTTTAGACCTGAAAATAAACCGATTTAATCAACAGGAACTTCTTCGGTGTAGTGTGGTCAGATGCTAGAATTCTCTACTAAGGGAAGTGGTATGTTTTCCCCTGTGTTTGCGAGTGCATCTTTTTGGTGCCCTGATGTCTTGTCATAGTCCAGTAATATGCTGGTGTCCATCCACAGTGGTCCCGGTACGCTTATACTGTATGGCTAAGGTAATACATTGGACATTAAGGGTATCGAATGGCTCGTGTTCTCTGCAGGATGCTGCATAAACTACATAAAGGAATGAAAGAAAAACGCTAGTCCAACATTAAAGTGAAATTATTGTAGACTACTTACATTTAATTTACTAAAATTTGCCTCCATAGCTATGGTTTTCATTATTCATAACTGGGTTCATGAAAAGAATGTAATACCTCTATAAACACTGTTAGTTGCTTCTTTTTATAAATGGCAGCGGTATCCCTGGAGTTTTGTTTTTTTCCTCTTTTAGAGTAATAGTTTTTCATTAGGTGAAACTCGATGGCACTTTTAACACCCTTCTTATTAGGGATGGTCAGATACCAAGTACAGTACTTGGTACAAGTACAGATACTTTTCCAACTCCAAGACTAGGCTAGAGAAAAATTAGAAAGTTAGGAGGCAGCTGTCAATTTTAAGGTAGCATACAGAGCTCCTGAGATTTGTGCATCCCTGTTTTATTGTATTAATGTTTTTTTAGAAATATATATATATAGAGATATCTATATCTCTATATATATATCTATATATAGAGATATAGATATCTCTATATATAGATATATATACACACACACACAAACATGCATACATACACATGGATGCACCGATACCATTTTTTCAAGTACAAGTACTTATATTTGTCCAAGTACTGATATATTTTTGTTTGTCAAGTGACAGTTTTTCTAAAACAATACAGATAATGATTTCAGGACAGAGGTGGAGCGCCAGAGCCAGGTCCCAGCTGCAACCGCTGCAACCCTGGTAGTTCTTGTGAAAATGCCAAGTATCGGTACTGGTATCTGAACATCCCTACTTCTTACATTTCAAAGTTAACACCAACGCGTAGAGGTTCTCCAACATTAAGGCAGAGCTAGTTTTAGATATACTTTTTCATGTGCATTCGTGCTAAGTAATGTGTAAGCGTCATTCTTACAGATAGTTATTACCTCTCATAGAGGTCACGAGACTTTCCCTGACAATGCCATTATCTACCTTTTTATCCAAAACACCTGGCAATCTTTGTTCAGACATTATCCAGATCTAGCAGAAGTGCTAAAACCTCAGTCAGGATTTTATTGCCACATGTTCCATTTTCAGAGTTCCTCTCAATTCATTGTGCATCTCTAGGACAGCAATGGAGAAAATGTTCTCAAGTGGGACAGAAACTGCAACCCTTCCACCAAAAAACATAAAGGAAACAGTGATAGGGAGTCTAACCAATACCAACTTCCACCCTAAACAAAATAAAAGAAAAGGTTTTGGCTTTAGGTATACTTAGTCCTGCACACAACCGCTAAGCTCAGATCCTCTTTTCTTGTGACCATTCAGACTGAGTCTCCCGGTGTACAACGTACAAAGCTGACGGGCCTAGAGGCAGGCAGCTAAGACAAGATTTTGAACCTGCACAAGAGCCCTGTACCGCAGCACCAAGTGAAATCATCAAAAAAAAAAATAGACAGTCCTGTAGCTTATGTAATTAAATGGAAGACTATCTGAAGACTTATATGGAATCAGGAATTATCTACAACTGCAAAGTGCCGAACTGGCATCACTTTGACACTGACCCATGAGATACAGGCGCATTTTTGT